GGCCCAGAGGGGCCAGGGCCAGGAGAGGGCCAGGAATGGGAGCCAGCGATTCAGAGCCTTCAGAGTTTAGAAACATGAAACATGAATGACTCATGTGGGGTGGCTCGGATTCCCTGGCCAGCCCACATTCCCGGGCCTTTGTTCCTCTGGACTGGGCCAGCCTTAAAGGGCCAGCTCCTCTGAGGCAGGGGCGGTGCCACTCTGCCCACCTGCCCCTTCTCCTCTTGCATTTTGACCTCTGGTAAGGTTGTTCCCAGACTCTGGGCTGAGGGTAGAAAGGATGGCATCCTGCAGGTTTATCTCAGGGGCTTTTATGCATCCTTGCCTCGGAGCCAGTGCAAACTCAAGCAGGGCTGCACCTAAACTGGCCCAGCAGAACTAAGAAAACCCTTTCCCTTCTTTTTAAAGATGATACTACTAGGGGACTCCCCTCAGGGCAAATTCTCCCAGGATCTCATGGCTGGCTCCTTCTAACTTCCACCTCAGGCTACAGGTTATCCTGGGCGCCCCACTACCCATGAACCCTCACTGTTTCCCCTCCCTGCCCTGGTCCCATTTCAGTAATGGATCAATCGACTGATTGATTGTACTGGGGCTTGAAGTGGGCTCACTTTACCACTGAGCTACATTCTCAGCCCTTTTTAAAAATCTAACGGTGAGACAAAGTTTCAGTAAATTGCCCAGGCGAGCCTCAAACTTCCACTCCTGCCTCAGCTTCCTCCCAAGTAACTGAGATTATAGGCATGTGCCACCACTCCCAGCTTACTTCTGAACTCTCCTTTGGCCTCTGTCTGGTGGGTTTCCGGTTGTCTATTCGGACTTGTATCCTACTCAGGATCCTGTCCTAGGCTTTCCAGGAATCCAGCTTTCCCACAGACCTGTCCTGTTGCTGGATTCCTGGGTGTAGAAACACCATTCTACCCCGGGTGCCCAAGTAATTTCTTTGGATTCTGCACGCCACCGTGTGGACACTGGAGAAATGGTGCCTTTGGGAGATGAGAGTACAGGGGCCCACGGAGGTGAGCAGCCCCTGACGCTGGGAAAGCATCCTCAGTTAAAAGCAGTTCTGGGCTGGGAATGCAATTCAGGGAAAAAGCACTTACCTACCATATATAAGGCCCTGGGTTCATCCCTAGCACTGCAAAAAACAAAAACAACAGAAGCAACAAAAAATAAGGCAAAAAGGAATGTAGTCCTGTGTCTCTTACACACCCCAAAGAGACACCAGGAGACATGGGGAGCGTCCCAGCCTGGTCTCCTTAGCTTTCAGGGCTCTGAGCCCCAGTCTGACCTGGGGACTGTGAGAAATGACTGGCGGCCAAGGCCTGGTGTGCATGGCCTGCAGCTCCATGGGCCGGTGCACCCTCGGGACCTGGGAGAGAGGCAGTAACCGTGCCTCATTCATCCTGAGTGTAATCAGCCCAGTGCCTGTCTGGACTGCATCTGGTCTCTGTTGAAGAGGATGGTGCCCAGGAGGCTCCATTCTTTCTCTGGGGGAAAGTGTGTAGGCGGCTCCACTGGGCAAACTGCATGCTCCCAAGTGCTCCTGTGTGTCCCACCCTGCCCAGAAGTTGAGTACACACAAATTTTGACAGTGGCAGCCCTTGCACAGGGAACAGCCCTGGCGAGAGCTGGCAGCAGGAGAAGACTGCGTGTGAACTTGGATCCTCTATGTCCCAGGGGAATAGCAGCAACCAAGGGTGCTTTTCATTGGCACCCCGTAGCCCAGCACCTGCCTTGACTATGGCTATTTGAATCTTCCTGGCAAGGGGGCAAGGTGTCCATGCATTCCAAATGGAGGGAAGAGGAGGAGGCTGACTTGGACCTGAACGTCAAATGCCAAGTCTAGGAGGACTGGGGATGGGCCCTTCGCTACTGAAGGGTGAGAGAGGTGTGATTCCCTCTGCAGCCAGGCTTGTGGCTTAGTGCTGGGCGTCAAAACAGGGTGCTTGGGCAGGGGATTGAGCTCAGTGGTGCCGCTGCCTGCCTTGCAGGTGCAAGGACCAGAGTTCGATCCCCGATACAAAACATGGTGGTCAAGATCATTTGTGGGGATGTAACTGGAAAATTCAATGTCTTCAACTTTTATTAAATAGGAATAGTAGGATTTATTAGACAGAATTTAACAAATACATATTCAAAGAAATAGGGTATGGGTCCTTAAAAGTGAGAGAGAGGCACCAGAAATTCAATTTCCATCTCTATTTTTATGTAATCTTTTCAGATTTTTCTATTTTGGTTGTTTTAAATATATTAATCCGATGAAACATGAATATCATGTAAATAATGAATAACATGTAAAACATGAATAACATGTAAAGGGTGTACATGTACTATGGACACATCTTCAGAAAGCTTTTTTTTTTTCAGAAAGCTTTCTATGCTAATGCTTGGATCACATCATTATGATTATGAAAGTTTGGAGACCATTGTATTTCAAGGTATCTTGAGGGATTTTAGATCCCAAAGGCCCTGGTTAAATAGGTCTTTCTCTATCACCCAGGCCATCTGTAATTACAGGAGACACAGAGAAGTAAAGTGACTTTCTGGGGCCACACTGAGTACAAGAAGCATTCAAACCTTCTGAAACCTGTCTCGTTCATCTATCCATGTACACATCCATCCATCCATCCATCCACCTGCCACTCCATCTGTCCCTCACTCCTACCAGTCAACCCATCCATCCATCCACACATCCATCCATCCATCCGTCCACCCACCCACCACTCATACCAGTCCATCCATCTGTCTGTCCACCCATCCATCCATCCACCCACTCAGCTGCTACCTGTCCTACTGTGGTAATCTTCTGGGTCAGCTTCCCTACCCCTAAGCTGTAACACCTTTCAAAGTCCTTCCTTTCTTTTTTCATTGCCATTCCACTTCTGTTTGGTCACACTGAGCCCAAATTAAGACCGTAACTTTTGGGGGGTTGTGGTTTTGGACAGTGTCTTGCTATGTAGCCCAGGATGGCCTCAAATTTGTGATCCTTCTGCTTCAGACTTCCAAGTAATGGGATTATAGGACTGTGCTGCACTGCCCAGTTTAAGACCATGGCTTTTTTTTCCTCATTGAGCTTATTGGTACATTTTAGGTATACAGTACAGTTACATTTATCATTGGGATCTTATACCTTTACATGACAGGTCTTGGTTCTCATTTTTTCCCCATACCATGCCCTCCCTTCACCCCCTCCTCCCTTCCGTATTTACAAAACTTTATTTCCATTTTCTCATATTGTTTTCTTTTCCTTTATTTCCTTTCCCCTACCCTTCCCATTTCCCCTATACCTTTAGCCCTTTTCTTCCTATTTCACATTGTCAATATACCATTAGAATCTTATTTACAATTATAGTTTTTCACACCAGAGAAGCTATTCGGTATTTATACATGTGACTTATTTATTTCATTTAAGAGTCTATCCTCAATATGCATCTGTTTTCCTATGAATGACTTTAATTGCTCATTCTTCATGTTTGAATAGTGTTCCATTTTATAGAAAAACCACATCTTCTTTATCCAGTCTCCAACTGATGGGCAAATGGGCTGTTTCAAAACTTTAGCTATTACAAACTGTGCCACTATAAACATGGGTGTGCATATATCACCGTGGTGTGATTCTTTTAATTCTTTTGGAGATACCCAGCAGAGGGATAACTGGGTCAAATGGAACCTCTAGTCTGAGCTCTTTGAGGTGTCTCCATATTGATTTCCATAGTGGTTGCAGCAGTCTGCACTCCCACCAACAATGGAGAAGGGTTCCTTTCTCCCCACGACCCCGCCAACATTTGTTATTGGTTGATTTCTTGATAGCAGCCATTCTTTGTGGGGTGAGATGGAATCTCAGTGTTGTTTTCATCTGCATCTTTCAAATGACCAGTGATGTGGAACATTTTTTCATATATTTACTTGATGCTTTTACTTGTCTGAGAAATGTCTGCCCATTTCAGATGCCCATTTTTAAATCCAAGACCATAGCTTTTAAATGAGTCTTCCTGCTTTTGGTACCTCTTGGCTCAGTCTATCCCAACCATCACCGCTGAATCAGTCTCTCAAATGATGTTTTTTGTTTGTTTGTTTGTTTGTTTTTTACTGGGGATCGAACTCGGGTCCTTGCGCTTGCAAGGCAGGAGGCAGAAACACTGAGCTAAATCCTTGGCCCTTCAAATGATTTTAAATGACTGCAGACTGCCTGCAGAGTCCAGTCTAAATTTCTCGGCCCAAACTAGAGGCCCACGCCAGATGCCCACGCTGGAACTCCACTTGGATGCCTTTTCCATGTCACCCAAGACTCAATTACCTTTCTATTATCTTTCTTTAGCTGGATGCATGAAAGTCTGAGGGAAGGGGTGGTCCTCTGTGAAACAGAAATCTCAACAGCATCGTTTCAGAACTCAAAGGCCCTTAAGAATTCTCTCCTGGAGCCCTCCACTCCTTTCTTCCCCCAGGCCATAAACTGAGCAGGGCATCACTGGACAGCAAGGTCTTTCCACCTGCTTTGGGAAGGGCGTTTAAATCTTTCTCCTCAGCCAAGAAGTAGTGCACTGGTAGTCCCAGATACTCAGGAGGCAGAAGCAGGAGGGTTGTTTGAGCCCAGGAGTTCTGAACTAACCCTGGCAACATAGTGAGACCCTCATCTCATAAAAAGAAAAAAATCCTCCGAAGAAAAGTTAGAGTGAGTAATGTCCTCTAACAAGAATTGGAATAAAAAAAATAAGAAAGATCTGGAATGAGCCAGGCACATCCGCAAACCCAGATATTTGGAAGGCAGAGGCAGGAGGGCAAGGCTAGCCTGGGCGTCTTAGCAAGACCCCATCTCAGTAAAAAAGTGGGGTTCTGGCTGGGGATGTGGTTCAGTGGAGAACACTCGGGCAGTAGTGTGTAAGCCCCTGGGTCCCATCTCTAGTAGCAGCAAAGAAACAGAAGAAAACACCCCTCCCTGTTTCCAGTCTATGTGCGTCTTTCCCTCCCCAGGTAAGCTTGAGCTTTCTCCCTTACAGCCTGGGAACTCCAACCCCAGGAGGAACCGGCCCATCAACCTGAACCATTATGCCACCAAGAAGAGTGTGGCTGAGAGCATGCTGGACGTGGCGCTCTTCATGTCCAACGCCACGCGGCTGAAGGCAGTGCTGGAGCACGGGCCGTCCTCGCACTACTACGCCGCCCTCATCGCCCTCATCAGCGTCTCCCTGCTGCTGCAGGTGGTCATCGGAATCCTCCTCGTGGTCATTGGTGAGGAGCCCAGGGTTGGGGGTCTTGCATCTACACACCTCAACCTCTCAGCCCCGCACTAATCCACGTCAGCCCTCTGTACCTAGACACACAGGCAGCAGCTCCTGTATCGAGGGCGGATGTGGTGCTCGCTCCGCTCTCCTCGCTGGCTTATGGCAGAGCTCCTAATCACCTGAGCCGCGAGCACTCCTACCCTGTCTCTTTAGCGCATGTCTGCAGCCCATGTTTACATTCATCTTGGCGGGTAGGTACATGCACTTGACATTTTAATTTTAAATTCCCCCTTCCCTTCCTCCCCAACCTGGATCCCTTTTGCGTTTGCAAAAGATCTACCTCCCTGTTTTCTACTGTCTGTCTTTCAAAAAAATTGGAACTCACTATGTAGCCCAGGCTGGTCTCGAACTCACAGCGATCCTCCTGCCTCAGCCTCCCGAGTGCTGGGATTACAGGTGTGCACCACCATGCCCGGCTTAAATACGTTTCCTTTATTCATTCATCTGTTGGTGGACATATAGGCCACTTACACGCTTTAGCAATTATGAGTTGTGCTGCCCTAAACAAGGGTACATGTATCACTGTTATGTCTTTAGCTCTTCCAGGGAGATACAGTACTGAGAAGGGGACTAACTGGGTCACACGGAACTTCAGTTTTTAGTTTTTCAAGGACTCTGTCCTGATCTCCACAGTGGCCATCTAGTTTCCATTCCCACCAGTGTCATAGGTGCCTTTCCCTACTCTCTTAGAAGATCCAGTTGAAGGTGCCATTAGCACCATGTGGACGCCTCACTCGCTGGTGCGGAGGGGCACAGGCATTTCAGCCCAGCGCCTCACCACCTCCCGCGCTGTCTGCCACACAGGCTCCGAAGTGCCCGATTTCGCCACACTGGCGGCTGTGGGTGGGGGAGCTCCAGGCTGCGGCCCCCACTCTGACGTCCACCTCCCACTCCCCACTGCTCCACAGCACGGCTGAACCTGAATGAAGTGGGAAACCAGTGGAGGCTAAATCAGCTCAACAACGCCGCCACCATCCTGGTCTTCATCACGGTCGTTGTCAATGTTTTCATCACAGCCTTCGGGGCACAGAAGACTGGCTTCCTGGCTGCCAGGGCCTCTAGGAATCCTTCGTGAAGCCACGTGGGACCTAGGTGAGAGGAAGGATGGGGGTCCGAGGGCTCCCAGCCAGCCCTTCGCTCAGCTTGGGGGTGTGGGGTCAGAAGGGTGTCCCCTGTCATGCAAAAGGGGAGGGCACAGGCCTGGGGATCTTCAGGTGCTGAAACGGACACCGCAGAGCCTGTCCTCGGCCCTTTTCTCCATGGCACCTCCTTCGGCCCTGGGCTCAGACTTTCCCACAGCCTGAGATGGGCTTGGAGGCAACTGTTGCCAGCGGCTGGCTCTGCCCCCTGGGTAGATGTGGTAGATTAGATGGGGAATTTCCCATGGCCACTGCTCAGCAGCCCTTGCCGCTCAGACTGTGGTCCACTGGCCAGCAGCAGCCGCAGCAGCCAAAGCACCAGGTGCTGGCTGAAGTGCAGTCCCGTGGGCCCCACTGCGGAGCTGCAGAGCCAGCACCGGCATTTCTGTAGGGTTCCCAGGTGAACCACCCTGTGCAGTCCTGCGCCCGTCCAGGCCTGGACAGCACTGTCTGACCTGCCCTCCTCACTGCTCTCCCCTGCTCCCTCCACAGGAACTGGGCCCGGAACTGCTTCTGCCTCCTTCCTCCCAGGTCTGCCAGGCTCACAGGCATTTTCCACAGCCCCTGGGAGAGCTTCTGAAAGAGCTGTGTAGACGCACTTGGTCCCTACCCACAGCACCTGAACCGAGACGTTTTGCTGGGCTAAATTATCCCATCCTGGACCGGAGCGCTGAGCTCAGACCATTCTACCCGGGCAGCGCCCTGAGGCAGACGCGCTAGAGGCTGAGTGAGCCCAGGCTGAGGACTCAGGTTCCGACTCTGCCCCATTCCTTCGCTCTGTTCCAGGCCTGTTTCCCTTTCTATAAATTGAGTTATTTCTCTCCATAAAGACTTCTGCAAATCCATTCTGAGTCATCTTTTGTCTTCAGCGGGACACCAGGGTTGGCATCTACATGCCCTCTCCCTCTGGGTCCTAGAAAGAGCTATTATCTGTTACAACTGCAGATGCATCAATTCTGGACGGCTGCATATAGAGCATGATCAAAACATACAGGGAAGGGTTCGAGAATTTATTATAGCGAAAGACACACTGTGTCTGGGCATGGTGGCGCATGCCTGTAATCCCAGCAAGGAACAGGCTGAGGCAGGAGAATCTCTGTAATTTGAGACCAGCCTGGCCTACATAGCAAGACCCTATCTCAACAACCACACCCCCAGCCAAGACACATTGCCATTAAATCCCTCTTGCTTCAAAAAACACTGATGCCGTTATTCTTGCCATCTTCTGAAGCAGTTCCTGAAGCCCTGTTTCGTGAGTATCTTTGTGAGGAGTGATAAAAACACACAGTGAAGGCTGTGGCTAAGTGCCATCCAATGGAAATGCAGACTTCTTAAAAACATTATGGTGAGGGCCGGGGATTGAGCTCAGTGGTTCGGTGGCCTGCCTTGCAAGCACAAGGACCGGAGTTCGATCCCCGGCACCAAAAAAAAA